TTTTCCTGAATTTTATACTAATTGAACTTGAAAAAGAAATTTAATTTGATTTTTTTTAAATAAACGATTTCACCGATTTACACGCGTTTTCCCTTGACCAAATTTTGACCGTATCACCCTTTAGATCTACACACTTAGAAATTATCGCCGACTTTGGTAATTTTTACCGAAATCTGAACAGCTGAACTGTTCGGTAAAATTTATGCAATTCAATTCAATTGCTTTTCAGCTACGTTGAAACTAAATCTCCACTAAAATGACAAGATTTGATTATTTAAACAAGGTTGAACATGTTTTGAAATTATTTTCAAATTCAATAGCCTTTAAAATGAAGGTCAAAGTTTTACCGAACATTCAGCTGTTCCTTACCGGTCTCGTTTTGAACATAGTACATTTAGTATGGGGGCGAATTTTACTAGAACTCAACTGCCCTGTGCGGCATAACAGTCCCATTAGCATTTTTTGTCGAAAATGAGTTATACAGTTCAATACATTGGAACCGATTGTCAAGTACCATCACTTTACAATGCCCACGAAAAAATTCCTACTTTGTTCAAAAAATGTCGAAAAAAATACCGAAACTATTTTGTCCCATCCATAAGAGCCCATTAAGATTTTTTTTTTCAACAGCGTTTTTCTCCGCTTGCTGTTTTAATGAATGGGACAACTAAAAAAGGCAGTTAAGGCCCAAGCGCAATGACAGCGGAAGCGGAACGGCAGTGGCAGCGGAAAAGCCCGATCAGAGTAAGCCTTCTTGTCAGGTTGAAAACTAGTTAGAACCAAATCGACTTCGGTTAGGCATCTTGATGTCTTTTGGGACAGCTGTAAAACTTTCCGTTTCCGTTCTGCTTCCGTCCACATTGCGTTTGGGCCTTCAAGGTCTTGGAGCTCGTACGTAGTTAGAACAACCTTTTCAGTTTCATGTTTCAGCCTGGTGTACTGCCTGGATCTGCCACTGTTCCGAACGTTCTTCCGTCCACGTCGTCAGCGAAGCAAATAAAGTGACTGGATTTATTGAAAATCTTGCCCCACATATTTAATCCCGCACGTTGAAGAAGAGCCAGAAAAGACTCGGCTTGTCGAAATCCTTTGATGGTGGTAAGCTCCAACTGGTATTATCCTCGGATTAAATCCCGATCAAGACTGTCCGGCTGCTTTGATGTTGAAATCAGAGTTAATCAACACGATTCTTAATTTCTAAGCAAACACTTTGTAGATCATCCAAACAGGGACGGGATTAAAAGTTAATCCGAGTTGGAGCTTACTGCCATGAGTGTTTCAAACGAGTCCGATAACGCATTCGATATCTTCACTGTAGCACAGTACAGTGTACACCATCCATCGTAGCCTTAATCAGCCTGATCACTTTCCAGGAAACACCGTTCTTGTCTATAATCTTCCATAGCTCTTCACGGTCAATAATATCGTAAACGGCCTTCAAATCAATGAATATCCGAGCAAAGTTGGATATCAAAATACTATCAAAATGATATCTAATTTTGTTTTTGAAATCATGTTGATAACATATTTTGAGTTCAGCTTCGAACCTCTTTCGATACGGTTGTGTTTGTTTCTGTTTTGTGCGTGCGTTCGCTGATTTTGCCAGATAAGCGCTGGCACTCTGCCTCCCGGACGGTTATACGTGTGTGATTGGTGGTTTTCTCGCTTTCCGAGAAGTTTTGGAATAGAAAAAGAAAACGTGATGCATCATGTTTGCAGGCATCAGAAGAGATGTCGCTATCTGCGTTGTTTGTTTTTTCTTCGCTTGTGCTCCCGGTACAGAAATTTGTGGCGTCGCGAGTGATAGTTTTTGATTTCAGTTTGTTTACGCGTTGTATGATTTTGTGAGCGGTCGCTTCGTGTTCGCGTCATGGAGCAATCGACTACATTCGACCCGAGGATTGATCCCCGTAGGGCGGGTCTATGATCGGAGCTACTACACCAAGCGTGACATAGCTGCTTGCAAGGGATTCAGTTGGACTGATTTGGTGAGATTGTTCCTTTTTTCTACTTTTGTCTATTTAAACTTAATTTCTATGAATGCGTATCGTTTGGAATCATTTGATTCGGATGAGACTCTTAACTTTTATTTTTTACATTGTGTTTCAATCGGTATTCTTATGAACTTCACAAAATAAGGTCCCAATATTTAAATTGAGCAGCTCGACTAGCCTGGTGGCTGCCGCTTTTGCTTACTGAGTAGAAGACCGTGGGGGATCCACATTGTAAAGATTCCCTATTTTCAGCTTTTCTACAGGCTGGAGTTGTTGTTTGAACCATTTAGTTTATCAATTTAATTTATCTGCATAACAATTATTCAAAAGCATTCTTCCAGGTTAATTCAAGAATAAATTGATGATGATAAATCTTCCTAATATTCACATTACAGTTATGACCCGATCCTGTCAACCTCTCCGCGCATCAGACTGTTATTTTTCAATAATTCCACATAATTGTAATTTCATACCTTCCTCCTTCAAGATGAATGTTTAAGTTACACATACTTTGCTAGCTGACAAAATGGGGTCATTGCTGTAATATTATTCTCTTTTTGCAGCCTTCATTCAGACTGGATCTATTGATTTAAATTATTTGAGTTTTCTTCCAGCACTTTGATGGCGGAACATCATTAGATTTATACTGTAATGATTCACTCTTACAGCTTTCACCCTGGTTTTGTCTGTTGATTTGATTTGTTTGAATTGGTTTTCAGCTCTTTGCTGTTGGCAGTCGCGGGCGATCAATTTTGCTCATGCTCATGCTCTAAGTTTATTTTCAGCATTTCGATGATGGAACGTCTTCAGAATTATATTATAATGGGGCTTATTACGGATGTCACATCACGGTGAAAAGTTGTCACTTGTCGTCACGGTGAAGTGATTCCCATTCTGAGTATCACTTGCTTATCACCGTGTAGTGACACCTGTAATAAGGCCCAATGATACACCATTTGGTTTTGGCTTCGGGCAAATCCAAGTATAATGCATGATAACACTGATTCATTTAAAACCATGGTCGCATCACTTATCAAGGTGAATCCTGATCCAACGAACCCAACCCAACTTACTAACAAAATCTTCTTTCCTGTGTCTTTTGTTGGGGTGCAGAGGTAAACACGGCTCACAAACAACAAAGGTCACTCTAATATTCCTTCCCTACTCCCACCTGATTGCAAGGACGTGGCCGGCGACGTTATTGATCTACAAAATATAGAGTCACTGAAACTTGTACAATGAGAATGGACGGTCACTCCCAGCCCCATTCACTGATTCTGATCAATCACGGAGTAGCAACCATTGATATGTGCAGTATTTCTAAACATATAATTTAAACAAAATTTGATATATATGCACATTTATCACTATAAATCTACATTTATTTTTATTTTTTCTTCTTACAAGTCAATCAGGATGCTTGCTGTTTTCTGTATGGACATCACAAAGACAATTATGATTTTAACAGTGTTGTTTTACACCATTTATTGATATTGATCTACCTGCGAATTGAATTTACAAATCGATATAAAATCGATTTCGTCCTGTTCGTCTGTAATACTTATATTTATACATTGTCGAATATTGTAATTTAACTTTCGTAGGCTTAGTCGATTTCTTAGCTCATATTTAAACATGTTGTCATAAATCTCATTAAGTATCAGTTCTCTCCCAACAAAATAAATATCGTCATTCATGGCTGTTAAAATTTGTTCGATGCGAAAGAACTGATCATTCTTAATAATATAAGAGTCATCGTAGACTAATTTTTACATGATTCGTGTGTCCTATATAGAAGATAATTCCACTAGAATTTGTCATGAAAACGATACTCTAAATTTAAAAACTTCACATTGTCTATTTCAATGCTATTGGTTCTAATAAACTTCAATCGTTCGTCATATTTTAACTTTTGTTATTTGTCTATTATGACAAAAGCGGTTCATTATTTACTTTCTTGTAATTTGTACCATCAGATGATTATTTCCAGTCCTGTACTTTAATAAGGCACCATTCGCACTTTATTGGCAACTTTTTTTGATTTTGAATCTTGATATCAATCAATAGATTTCAAAACATTCAGATTACTAAATTTGATATCATGATATCAAAATAATAACTAATTAAGTTTTTTTTATTTATTTTTTTTGTTTTCCTACCATAGTTATAATAACATATTGATTACTTATTTTGTTTATTATTAACGAAATTACTAATATCAAAACGCATACATGGATTTGTTATTAAAAAACATGATTTGTTATCTTTTTAATACCTTTCATACACCATTTAGATCTCATTTTTGTTATGATTACTGTTAACTCGACGATTTAGATCTCATTTTTGTTATGGTTACTGTTAACTCGACACGGTAGGCAAAATATGTTATCACGAACGCTTATATCAAAATATCAAATTTAATTTTCATTTTGTTTTCATTCTCTGATCGGGATAAGGACTTAATATTCGCGGTACTTTTGGAGGATCTGCTGCATCGTAAATATTTGGTCTTTTGCCGAGCGATCGGGTTCACAAAAGCGGCTTGAAAACTTTCCACAAATCTGCTTGCTATCGGCGATATACTGAAAGCACTTTGTTGAGAATAGTGATCACTTGCAAGTTTACACCCCTTACCCCTTACGGTAGCTGTTTTGTATCGTAGATTCTGCCTATCAGTGGGTACAGACAAGTAGCCAAGTTGAATAATTTTAGATATTGTGAGCGTGAGCGTGTGAAAATGCATGTGAATCTCAAGCATGAGATTTGTTTGCAAATTCGCTCGCGCAAAATTTATTCACCCAGGAGTGCTCAATGACTGAGGTTTGAGAATGATTTTCCGAACACTGCACTAGTTTCCCCTAAATTGCCAACCAACCGGGGCCTGCTTGAAACCTATTGCACTGTATGGAGTAAAACTGTTAATTTGAACCATAGTGGCCGTCATACCCCACTCTCTCCTGTATAAGCAATTCATATGTATTCAAGCATTTTTTTTTTTCATTTCAGAATATTTTGGAAACGTTTTAGAAGAAATGAGTCTGACACTCAGTTCTAATTTACAACAAATAATTACACTACTAAGAGCGCCGTTGGACCAATACAATGCAGTCAGCGTCGGTTGCAATCCCAGGGTAGTAACATCGATTAGACAAAAGAGAAATATTCTATCATGTTGATTTGTGTTGATGTTGAATATAAAACTAAATTGTACTAATACATACTTATTGAGATGATTGAATAAATTAAAATGTATTTAATGTTTCCATTTCAATATTTTATATTTATTTATCTATAACTTTCAAGAGCTTTCTATGGCCGCGGCCAGAGTAGACGCGACACGCGACCAATTCAAAAGAATCTTACTATTTATTATTATTTGTTGCGGTGGTAAAACGAATCTTATTAGGGGCTGTCCATAAACTACGTAGACATGTTAGGGGTGGGGGAGTAATAATCCACGACCCGTACAAATTTTAAAAAAAATGTATGGGCAATTGTCTACACAGGGCGGGAGGGGGGTCAAGAATCCCAAAAAAATGTCTACGTAGTTAATGAACAGCCCCTTATTTATTATTTATTCTTGTGTGAGTCGCGTCTACTCAGGCCGCGGCCTATGTGTCCTAGAAAAATCCATCATCACCTGGAGCTTTCATATTATGAAACTTTTTAGTAATAGATCTTACTTCGTCCAAATCAGTCCCCCAGGAATCATCAAAAATATTTTCCCGAGATAAAATATTCAGATAATCCCGAGCAACCTGATTCTCAATAGGACTAGTAAGACCCAAACTGAAATTATGGGAACTCTCGAATTGCTTAGCAAGTTTCTGAGCTTTTTCCAAATTTGTGATCAAAATTTTACCACCTTCTTTAAGCACTGGAATAGGCTTTTGAGGTTTTTTCAAAATTTTTGTGTGTTTCCAAAAGGGTTTGGAGCTCAGATCTAATTTAGCAACATTATTTTTAAAAGTTTTGCTCCTCAGGGCAGAGAATCGCTTTTAAATTTGTTTTTGCAAATCCCGCCAGATAACTTTCATGGCAGGATCGCGTGTTCTTTGATATTGTCTCCTACGGACATTTTTAAGACGGATCAAGAGCTGAAGATCGTCGTCTATTATAATTAAATCGAATTTAACCTCGCATTTTGGTACTGAGGCAGCTCTTGCTTCAACTATAGAAATAGTCAGAGATTCAAGAGCATAATTAATTTCATCTTTGGTTTGCAAAGGAATGTTTGGATCGAAGTTATATTCCACAAATGTTCGATATTGCTATGGTAATTGAAAGTAGAGCTGTTGGGATTAGAAATTATTTCTTGGGATATTTCAAAAGTTACTGGAAGGTGATCAGAACCGAAGTCAGCATGAGTAACCAATTGGCTACAAAGTTGACATGACTCAGTTAAGACCAAATCAATAGTTGAGGGATTTTTTGCAGAAGAAAAGCATGTTGGGCTGTTTGGATATTGAATAGTGTAATAACCTGCAGAACAATCATCAAACAGAATATTATCATTGGAATTGCTTTGAGCATTATTCCATGAGCGGTGTTTTGCATTAAAATCACCAATAATGAAGAATTTAGACATATGACGGGTAAGTTTCTGGAGGTCACCCTTGAGAAAATTCTTTTGCTGGCCTACGCATTGGAATGGCAAATAGGCAGCTATAAACGTAAGTTGTCCAAATTTTGTTTCAACAGAAACTCCCAATGTTTCAAAAACTTTGGTTTCAAATGAAGAAAGAATTTTATGCTTGATTCGTCTATGAATAATGATGGCAACGCCACCACAGGGTCCATCAAGACGATCATTTCTATAAATCAAGTAATTTGCGTCCTTCTTAACCTTATGGTCAGGTTTAAGGAACGTTTCAGTTATAACGGCAATATGCACGTTATGAACTCTCCAAAAGTTAAATAGCTCGTCTTCATTATCTTTAAGAGATCGAGCATTCCAATTTAACATATGTAATGCTTTAAAATCTATTACTGAATTTTAAAGTCATGACAATATTGTTTGCAAATTTTACTCCAGTTTGAATAGCATCAAACATGGAGTTAGATTTAAGCATATCATAAATCGTGTCAATTAATGATTTCTGTAAAAATTCCATTTTAGGGCCAGTAATGCTTCCTAAGTCAAAATTTTCAAAATTTCCGTTAGAATTACGTTGGTTAGTATTTTGATTTCTACCCGATGCAATAGCAGCATAGGCACCTACGTGTACGAATATAGAATTTGTTCCTCGCTTTGACCGTTGTTAACAGCAGAGTAATTTGTACCTGTTCGGAAACGTGGAGCGTTTCCTACCTGTCGCTTAGATCGAAATTGTAGGATCGCTTTGCGAGTCTTACATTCCCATAAAGCGACGAGTCGTCAACCAATTCGGACGCGTTTTTCATAGGCTCCCGCCCCGCGCGCGATAAATAAAATAAATTAATATTGTTTTTGTTCTACTGTATTGACCAAGTGTAATTTTTGCTAACGTCATGAGCTGTGAAATTTGTGCCTTCGACGCCTCTGCCGATTCGATAATGTGGACTAGTGCGGGATGTCCACGTGTGTTCCATGCTGCTTGCATCGGTGTTACTGTGCAGTCACAGACGCGGGGTTCAATGCGGAAAAAGGAGAGGAAACCGGTCACCTCATACTCATAATACTCATAATACCTCATAAAAGTATGTTGAAGCAAATTTGGAATTCCACCGGCTGTCGGAGCAACAGAAAAACCTCACAGAACAACTGCATGCCAACACGCAGGTGATTCATCAATTCACACTGCAACAGAGTAAACCCAATATAGTGAATGAAGCTTTTGAAGGGCTCGAGGTTCTGCTAACCCAATGACGTTTATATAAGGTCTGGGCCAAAGGGCTTATTGGTGTTAGTGAAATGTGCAAATGGTTAGTGGTGTTCGTATTATATTGCAATGTTTATCTTTTTACACGAAACAGCTGTTGGCAGTGACGTATATCTATCTGTTCTCAGTATGTTGGCAGTGACGTATATCTATCTGTTCGCAGATGTTCAGCAATGTTTACAACATTTTTGCTTCTAACACCAGCAAGCTGCCTGTTGGCCCAGACCTTATATAAATGTCATTGCTGCTAACCAGCATAAAAAATGAGCTAGCTGCAATAAACAAAAACAGCAGTTTAGCTGGCCATCCATCAAAAACCACGTCACGTCTGTATTCGACTCTGCAATACAGGCAACCAATGACAGAATTTCAAAGTCGTTGGAATCTGTGACGTGTGAGCTGGCAGGCGATCTCCGTAATATCAACGCAGAAATATGTCAGCTCAATCAGCTGGCAATTAATGCAGCCGCTACGTCAACAATGACTACAAACCCAATTCTAGAGCTCAATATTCTTGATGAGCTGAAGTCATTGTCAGCTCATATAATGACGTCGCAGAACCCCGCGCCTTCACCCGAGCCATCCGATCCATACACCAGTTTGGAAGACGAAATAAACAACACCGACGGATGGCGCCTTCTAGGCACCAGAAAGATTGAGCAAAACGTTGATGACTCAGGGTGGCGTCTTTTGGGTACGAGGAGGGTCTGAAAGGCAGACTGGTCAGATTACGACGCGCGCAAATTACGACGGCTAAATCAACAAAAACATGCTGAAAAAGCTAGAAGGCAAAGAAAACAAAAGACAGCACGAAATTATTCTAACGCAAGAAACAACATACACAGCAACAGTTTAAATGCTCGTAATCATCGAAACATGAATTCCGATAACGGTTACAGTACCAATCACAGCAACATTTTAGGCCATCGGAGCATAAATCGACATAACGACCAGGACAACATTAACAGCAATAGCAAATACAACAGTTCCTATCAGTTCCACATCAAAAATCATGGCAACCCCCGTTTTCTTCCACCTGATCGAGAGCTTCTTTCAGCAGCAAAAAATGTCTTCAACAGACCGCCGGTTCATTATCAACCTACGATGCAGTTTGAAAAAGGGGAAACTATAAACCCATACCCTGTAAGCGGTCTTCCAAATTCACATGGTATGGCTCCGGGGAATTCTTCCTCTACATCGTGTCAGCCCTGCACATGTAGACATGCGTGTTTTCGACGCAACTGACGCACTCATCTGAGGTAGAATATGACAACACAGCTGAGCCTGAGGATCATGGCATCTCACATAACTTGAGGGATGTCGGGCAGTATGCAGCAACTTCACCCCCTGACCAGCACGACGTAAGTGACCATGTCGCTAGTTTATCAAGTAGCTCTTTTTTAAATGAAACTACAGTCTATTGCCAAAATTTTAACCGTATGCGTAGTGCGTATAAAATAAATGAAATTCAAAATAAAATAAGCGGCTGCACATATGATATAATAATTGCAACAGAAACTAGTTGGTCTGAAAGTATTAATAGCGAAGAGGTCTTTGGTAGTAAATTCAGTGTGTTTCGATGTGACCGTAATTTATCATTATCAGGTAAAAAATCAGGTGGTGGTGTACTTATCGCTGTGAATGCTACATTTCAAGCTGAACAAATTGCTAGTGAAAAACATAAAGAATTTGAAGATGTGTGGGTTAAAATTTTAATAAATGGTGAAGAACATCTTTTCGCTTCTCTCTACTTTCCTCCAGACTTTTCCAAAAAACCAGCTTACGAAAAGTTTTTCACTATTGCTGAACTGAAAATTCAAAGAGAAGATCCAAGAACCAAAATTCATATTTATGGAGATTTTAACCAGAATACTGTTAATTTTATTCAGGATAGTGATAATGATTCTCTGCTGTTACCAATTGTAGGTGAAAACGATACTTTGCAATTCATCTTTGATAAAAGCAGCCACTTAGGACTTCATCAAATTAACCATGTTCGTAACCAGCTCAATTCCTATTTGGATTTTATGTTTACTAATTCTACAGAAGATTTTTGTATTGTAGAAGCAGCAGTTCCATTATGGAAGAATGAAAAATTTCATACGGCTATTGAATACTCAGTGTTCACAGACTCGCATAGGTCACGCCCAAGCGTTGTTGATTTTGAATTAGTTTATGATTTTAAAAATGCAATTGTTCCTGAATTTCACAGCAGACTGAATAACATAAATTGGCAGAACCTTTTAAAAGATGAAAATAACATGGACAAGGCTGTTGACATATTTTATACAAACTTATACAATATTATTGAAGAATTCGTTCCTAAAAGACTAAAGATAATAGTGAACAGCACCAAA